TGTTCTGTGAAGCGCTTTGGGACGTCCTCCCGACGTGAAAAGCGCTATATCAAATGCCAGGTTTATTATTATTATTATTATTATTGATACCCTGTGTGTGTGTTGTGTGTGTGTGTGATACCCTGTGTGTGTGTGTGTGTGTGTGTGATACCCTGTGTGTGTGTGTGTGTGTGTGTGTGTGTGTGTATACCCTGTGTGTGTGTGTGTGTGTGTGTGTGTGTGTGTGTGATACCCTGTGTGTGTGTGTGTGTGTGTGATACGTGTGATACCCTGTGTGTGTGTGTGTGTGTGTGTGATACTTGAGGAACCTGTACAGCAGGAACGTAAACCAATTTGTCAACATCTTCTCAGCCACAGACTCGGTCCTGGAAGAGACACGGAGATAGTGTCAGAGTCTCACACACAGAGAGAGAGAGAGAGCGAGAGGGAGGGAGGGACAGGGAGAGAGAGAGACACACAAGTGAGAGAGCGTGTGAGAGAGAGGAGGGAGAGAGAGAGAGCGGGGAGAGAGAGGGGGAGAGAGAGAGAGGGGGGGGGAGAGAGATAGAGACAGGGAAAGAGAGAGACACACACAAGCGAGAGAGCAGGGGAGAGAGAGAGAGCGCGGGGGGGAGAGAGAGAGGGGGGGAGAGAGACAACGTAGAGGGAGACTCACAAAGAGAGAGACGGAGCGAGACAGAAAAATAGAGAGAGAAAGTAAGAGGGGGAGAGAGACACACAGACCCACACACACACACACACACACACAGTCGGAGAGAGAGATAGAGACAGACACGAGACAGAGTGTGAGCGCGGGAAGGGGGGGGGAGAGAGAGACGCACATACACACACACACACACACACACACACAGGAGACAGACAGACAGATAGACATACACACAAACACATAGACACACAGGGGAGACAGACACACACACACACACACACACACACAGGGGAGATGTACAGACACAAATAGACAGACAGACAGACAGACAGACAGACAGACAGACAGACAGACAGACAGACAGACAGACAGACAGACAGCGCTCTCTCTCTCGCTCTCTCTCGCTCTCACCTCCGCAGCAGCAGTTTGGGATGGTTCTTATTCTCGAGGTTCTTCTCGATCAGGTCCGCGAGGAGGTGCTTGAGGACCACGGTGGCGTACTCCATCTTCCCCTGGAGGGCGGTCATCACCAGGGAAGCCACCACCCCCCGGTCCCTCATGGAGAAGCTGCGCTGGGTTTCCAGACAGCGAATGAACGTCAGCAGGAAAACCTTGTCACTCAGCAACTGACCAAACAGCTTGAGACCCTTCTCCACGTTGGAGGGAGCCTGGAGGGAGAGAGAGGGAGAGGGGGAGAGGGAGAGGGGAGAGAGAGAGAGACGTTTGACCCGGAGCTTCATTGTGTGGTCGAGACTCCTCAAAGCGCTTCACGGGACACGCTGCAAAGTGTAGTGACGGTGTTGTTTTGGCTACAGCTGAATGTGCAGCCCCTGTAACTCAGGGGTTAGACCCCTCCCCTCGCACCCCACAGCCCCTGTAGCTCAGGGGTTAGACCCCTCGCCTCACACCCCACAGCCCCTGTAGCTCAGGGGTTAGACCCCTCGCCTCGCACCCCACAGCCCCTGTAGCTCAGGGGTTGGACCCCTCGCCTCACACCCCACAGTCCCTGTAGCTCAGGGGTTAGACCCCTCGCCTCACACCCCACAGCCCTGTAGCTCAGGGGTTAGACCCCTCGCCTCACACCCCACAGCCCCTGTAGCTCAGGGGTTAGACCCCTCCCCTCGCACCCCACAGCCCCTGTAGCTCAGGGGTTAGACCCCTCGCCTCACACCCCACAGCCCCTGTAGCTCGGGGGTTAGACCCCTCGTAAGCCACACTCCCTGTAGTAGGGTTAGACCCCTGAGCTACAGGGGCTGCACATACATTTACACAGCGCCTTTCACCCCCAGAGAGCCGTCTGACAGTGGGGGAGAGGAGGGGAGGAGAGAGAGTGGGCAGAGAGGGGATTTTCTGAGCTTACGTCTAGTTCCTTGAGGACGGGATGATCGTCAATTCCCGGGAAGAGAACGCGGGTTGTGTAGGTTTTATAATCCAGGAACGGGATTCCTGTTCCATCCAAATCATTCGTCAACTCGTGGATGTTTGTCTGTAGCTCAGCAAAGGCTGTGACGAGAGAGAGAGAGAGAGAGGGGGGGGATAGAGAGAAAGAGAGAGAGAGAGGGGTGTGTGGGGGAGAGAGAGGGGGATGGTAGGGGGAAGGAGAGAGAGGGGTGGGAGAGAGATGGGGCCGGGGAGAGAGAGGGGGGAACGGAGATGGGGGGGAGAAAGAGAGAGGGAGTAGGAGAGAGAGGGGGAGGATGGAGAGGGGGGGGGGAGAGCGACGTGGGGGAGAGAGAGGCGGGGGGGGACAGAGAAAGGGGCGAGGAGAGAGAGGGGGAGGATAGAGAGGGGGAGGATGGAGAGAAGGGGAGGGAGAGTGAGAGGGGGAGAGAGCGTTCTTTCAATGTTAACCGTTACACTTTCTCTCGCTCCCTCTTACACTCTCTCTCTCACACACTCTCACAGTCACTCTCTCCCCCCTCTCTCTTACACACACACCCCCCCCCCCTCTCTCTCACACTCCCTCTCCCTCTCTCCCCCTCTCTCACACACTCCCTCTCTCTCTCACTCACACACAGTCCCTCTCTCCCTCTCTCTCCTTCTTCCCCTCTCTCACACACTCCCTCTCTCCCTCTCCCTCCCTCTCTCGCGTACCTTCCTTACACTCCAGAGCCACTCTGGACTCCAGGTTGTCCATCTGGAGCTGGAGCCTCTGGAGTGTGCGATCTGCGTCCCGGGTCTTGCGCTTATACGCCACCAACACCGCCACGATAGCCACCAGGAGCGAGGAGCCCCCCACCCCTAACCCCACCACCCCCGGCAACGTCAGCACACTGTCAGAGAACACCAGCAGCATCCCCGGGGAGAACTGTACCCCCCCCACCCTCACCTGGGGGGAGAGAGAGAGAGAGAGAGAGGGTTAGTGTGTGTGAGAGAGAGAGACAGAGACAGAGAGACAGAGACAGACAGAGAGAGAGAGAGAGAGAGAGAGAGACAGAGAGAGCGTTAGTGTGTGTGTGTGAGAGAGAGGCAGAGAGAGAGACAGAGACAGAGAGAGACAGACAGTGATAAAGAGAGAGAGAGAGTGTTAGTGTTTGTGAGAGAGAGAGACAGAGAGTGACAGAGAGAGAGCGTTAGTGTGTGTGAGAGAAAGAGAGACAAAGAGAGCGACACAGAGAGACACAGACAGAGAGAGAGACAGAGAGAGAGAGACACAGAGAGAGAGAGAACAGTCCTACCCTCACCTGGGAGGAGAGAGAGAGAGTTAGTGTGAATGTGTGAGAGAGAGAGACTCACACACACACAGACAAAGAAACAGAGACACTCACACACAAACACACAGACAGACAGAGGGACATACATACACACAGACAGGGAGACACAGACATAGACAGAGAGATACATATGCACAGACAGAAACAGGCAGAGACACACACACACAGACAGAGAGAGAGATACACACGCACACACAGACGGAGAAACAGAGAGGTACACACAGACAGAGAGATACACACACACACAGAAACAGTGAAACAGAGAGATACACACACACACAGACAGAGAGACACACACACACAGACAGACAGACTGACCATGACCCTGTGTCGCCCGGTGGTTGTAGGACAGTCACACAGGAGCTGTGTGTGGGAGACGGTGATAGCACAAGGTGTGTCCCCGATCAGGACAGTGTAGTTCAGGCGAGAGCTGCCTGGACCAGCGGGTACCAGGTGCCTACCCTAAACACACACCGAGAGAGAGAGAGAGAGAGAGAGTGTCAGTGAGGGTCACACACACACACACACACACACTAACACAGTGACACACTTTCACACCCACTCACACACACACTAACACAGTGACACACTCTCACACTTGCACACACACTCACACACACACGCATTCAGTGACACACTCTCACACTTTCACACTCACATTCAGTGACACACTCACACTTTCGCACTCACACACACATTCAGTGACACACTCACACTTTCACACACACATACACACTCACAGACACAATCTCACACTCACACACAGCTCACACTCACTCACTCTCACACACACACTCTCACACACACTCACTCTCACACACTCACTCTCACACACACACTGACTCTAACACACACACTGACTCTAACACACTCACGGACACACACACACACACGCCTACCTTGAGGATGAGGGGGGAGCCTGGCTTGGCGTCCAATGTGCCTGTGCCTCCAAAGCTCTGGAATTCGGGGTTGGGGTAGTAGGTAAACGAGGTGTTGAGGGAGAGGAGGGAGCGAACCCCGTCCAGGATGAACCCAAACTGCTCGGCCTCGACCCCCTTCTCCGTCACCGTCACCGGCCACTCAGCTCCCCCCAGGCCTGGAGCTCGGCACAGCATCACTGTCTCATTCAGCACTCGACAACTCTGAGAGAGAGGGGGGGCGGGTAAGAGTGGGGGAGAGAGGGGGAGAGAGTGGGGGAGAGAGAGAGAAAGAGAGGGGGTGGGAGGGGAGGGGGGGAGGGGGGGGGAGAGGAGGGGGGAGAGAGAGGGAGAGAGAGTGGGGGAGAGAGAGAGAAAGAGAGGGGGGGAGTGGGGGAGAGAGAGGGAGAGAGTGGGGGAGAGAGGGAGAGAGAGAGGGGGAGTGAGTGAGGTTGGTCTGCCTGTGTGTGTGTGTGTATCTGTGCGTGTGTGTGTGAGTGAGCGAGTGTGTCTGTGTGTGTCTGTGTGTGTGAGCGAGTGTGTCTGTGTGTGTGTGAGCGAGTGTGTGTGTGTGTGTGTGTGAGTGAGTGTGTCAGTGTGAGTGAGCAAGCGAGTGTCTGTGTGTGTGTCAGTGTGAGTGTGTGTGTGAGCGAGTGTGTGTGTGTGTGTGTGAGCGAGTGTGAGTGTGAGGGTGTGTGTGAGCGAGTGTGAGTGTGAGGGTGTGTGTGAGCGAGTGTGTCTGTGTGTGTGTGTGTGTGTGTGTGAGCGAGTGTGTGTGTGTGTGTGTGTGTGAGCGAGTGTGTCAGTGTGAGTGAGCGAGTGTGTCTGTGTGTGTGTGAGTGTGTGTGTGTGTGTGAGCGAGTGTGTGTTTTCCTGGCTCGGTGTCAGGCTCTGGCACTGTCAAGTGCTTTGATCGCAAATGCAAGTTATTGCTGTGTTGTTGCTGCTGTTGTTGTGGTTGTTATTGTTGCTGTTGTGGTGATGGTTGTTGTTCTGGTTGTTGTTGTTGTTGTTGTTGTTGGTGGTGGTGGTGGTGTTGTTGCTGTTGTTGCTGTTGGTGTTGTTGTTGTTGTTGTGATACTCACATTACTGGACTCCAGGCCCCGGTATTGAGCTCGCACTCGGGGCTTCTGGATGGTGCTGAAGCCGGTTCCCGTCACCGTCAGCCTCGTGCTCCCACTGCCATCATCATCACCATCATCATCATCATCATCATCATCATCA